AAAAATAATGTTTATTAGCTACTATGCAAATTTAGGTAAGTGGTAGACAACATATTTAATTAACAAATGAACAAAAAACTAGTTTTTCTATTTGTAATATTTGATCTAAGTTAAATAATCGAGATTTGTTTTATTAAATAATAAATAATCGTTCATTTACCTAGTTCAAAAACACAAATATATCATTCTAAAATAACATTTTTTTATTCTTAGCTAAACGATTTATGTGCATTATTTTTTTCCACTTGATATTATAGTTTTTTTTAGTGAAAAACTATTATATCTAAAAACTAAGACATTTTTTAATTCTATAATTAGACTTCAAAAAGATATGGTGGCTAATAAAAAAACGAATTATTGTTATAATTTTTGTTTGTTACATTTTTCCGCCTAAAAATGAGATTAAAAACACTGTTCAAGTACGGAGTATACATTGCCATTGAAACGTAAAGAAATAAAATTATGTATGCATGATAATATGCTTCCAGGCAACAACTCCAACGCCGCTATGAAGGTTAAGGTGAAAGGCTTTTAAAGTGTATTATTCGAGTGCACGAAGAAAGAACAGATGGGATGCAGTTTTCACGCATTACCTTGAAACCCGTTCGTAACGATTATTCGTGTAAAATATATAATTATAGGTTAATATATTAATTAACTTGCTCTTATTCATAATTTCTTCAATTAATTTTTATGAACTCTCCAAAAAATAAAATATTAATATTAATGTCTCCTAAATAATATATTTAGAAATTAGAATACAATCATACAATTATGTTGAAAGTTAATTTATTAGGTTGAACACTATTTGAAATAACGTTAAATAAAAAACGAGGGAAAAACAATTAAATTAAATTTTAAATAATAAATCAAACCAAAACTTAGTCTTTCGAATATTAGACGCAGTCGTAGAGATATCTTCATGACGATTGAAAATAAACTTATCAACGTTTTGGTAATTTATTTCTCGTCGATGTCAAGTAATTCTTGATCGTTGTAAGACCGACAATCAAGTATCATCAATTATCAATTTATCATAGTTCATCCAATTACTATGCGCTAACGGTAAAGTGTGAGTAGGAAACGTGCAATTGGTTAATATTTCAAAACAGCATAATGCGATACCTAATAAAAAAAATATCAATTACTCGTTATGGCGATGACGTATAGTGGAATACTAATAGATGAGTAAATCTTTTTTACTGCTTGTCTGTCACATTTCAATTAAATAACAACATTCGTGCCGTACATAGAATCCTATCAAAAATGGAAAAAATAGTTCTTTAAAGTAGAAAATATAGAACCATATTTCCAAAAACAGATAAACTACAGTTGTTATTTATTGAAAAATACAGATAAGAAGTTAAACTAGTAATACCAACTCAATTGTTAAGATGGCAAGAACGCGTGCTATGTTGTCGAATGCGTGTTATCATTACAAATGTAATTAAACTCATTAAATTGTTTTTATTGCACTACACCTTTGTTTAGTATAGGTTGTAAAGCACATTGCAGTGAGAACAAGAGAATAAATTCATATAGTCTGTGTACCATTGAAACAGGAACAGGAAGTCACGACCCTTTAATGTTTGTTTATTCAATTTTTTTTTTTATTAAACTACATGCGACACAAAAAGACTATAACTATATAGTAAACTGAAATATTAATTATATAACAAACGCAAACAAATTGAAAATATTTTGAAAAAAATCATCAGAACAAGGCGAATTTCTGGAATCGACTTAAAGTTGATTAAATACAAAACTTAAATGCTGATAATTTATGTTGAAACGATTGTTTGTACCTACGTGTAAATCCATATAAATAGTCAAATTGAGAATTTTGTACATTGAAGCATATCATATTAGTTTATCAGATATAAGTCACGAATTAAAGTGTGAAATATAACATTATAAAACAGCTGGTAAAGTAGTAAAACTGAGATTTAGTCAAAAATAATTTATAAAGCACATCTTCAACAACAACAAATTAAACCTAACTGCACTTTATATTATTACTATAATAATTAATATCTTATAGTACTAGAAGAATTAATTGAAATTAGTTTTTTTTTTAAATTATATTATTATAAGTCGCTTCTATTAATCGACTTGAACGTTTTGAAATTAAAACGCTTTGATTTTCAAAATGGTTTTTTACCATTTAAAACGCTCATTCAGTGGCTTAAGAATTATTTCAAACCGTTTTAAAATATTTGAAAACTGTTTAGTTTCATAACGTTTTAACCATTCCGTACAAACATGGTATATGTGATTATAATTCCTGGGCTGCTTATAAGTAATACTTACATGTTGTAACTTGTAAGGTTTGTATTTTTTTAGGTATAGTTATACATTATAGTTTGGCAATTGGTAAGTATATCTGTAACCAAAATAAGCGCATAATCATTTAATTAAATCAGTAAAGACATAGGTGAAATGACAAATATTGTAACAAGTCATTGACACACATTTGTAAGTCAACAATGGCAATATAACCGTAAATTATAAAATACTAAATATTTCTTAGGGAAAGAATGTAATTTTTATGAAGATTCGATCGTGGTAATCGTTTCCAATTCGAAGTCGTGAGTTCTTGCGAATCTAATCATTGCATGGAAAAACGTGTATTTTAAATTGGTTGCAGTTTGTATAGGGTTTGATTGAAATATTTACATAGTTTACAGTTACGCTTATATTTACAAATTGGCATGGCCAACGTTTCGGAAGCCTTTTATCTTACACCTTTAAGACTGTGTTGCGTGCGGGTAACAAATGTTGTTCACTCCGCTGCTGCCTGTAGACAACCGAACAAACTTACTGGTAAAATTTTAGGGGAAAATTAGAATCCGCATGTTCCCTATCGAAGGCCATGAAAAATTGCACGAACACACGCAAACAGATTCACGGACCGAATGCCAAATTGGCCTATTTTCGATTACAATAATGATGGCCTCAATCTCATCCCGTTATTCGAAAAAAATGTCTAAGGAACTGTAGCTTCCTTTTTGAGGAAGAAAAAACTGATTTATAGAATTTTAGTCAACCTATTAGCTCTTAGCGTTGCCATATGAAGGGCTATGGGGAAAAATGGGGCAGATATGGGGAAACAATATTATGTGTGTTATATCTATCAACAAATTTTGAACGATTAAGCTATAAAAAACAACATTTTAATCTTTAAAACTATTTTGAGGCGTCACTTTACTAGTTAACATATGTTTTATATTTGTGTGGGAAATCAAGTTTATCATAATTATTATAGCCCAGTAGTTTAATGTTATTTCCACTGTGAATCGTACTCGTAAATAATATTAAAACGGAAATTTATTGCCTACGCCTTTTATTTTGTTAAACGTGAAGTAATTTAATCAGAGTGTTATAAAGAAACCGCATTAACATCAAACATTTAATGTCGTTTGGTTTTTAACAGCACCACTAAAAGAGATAGTTCTAATGATCATCTTACCTATAGTAATTGAATTTATTTTGACCCGAATACTAAGCTTTCACATTACATTACTAATCATGTCTTCTTGCATCTTCTTATTATGGATTCATGCGTCCCTATCATTCTCAAATAAATTATATTTTCATACATGCCCAGGCTACTCAATAAGTTTGAAAATCAGACAACCGGATGTCTGATTTCTTAAGAACAATTATAATATACAAATTAATACAAAAGTGTTCTATTAAGTTAAGACAAACGTTTTAGGTGCTGCACATTTTTACTGTTACACATTCTTTAACTTCGATATAAAACTGTAAATAATATTAATTATTAATGAGTATCTGCGGTTAATAATTTGTTATTTTTGGGAACCAATTTCTAAATACATTCATTGGTCATTAGAATACAATTTTTTTTTTAAGAAGTATTATCTTCCACGCAACAGTTAACCATAATGAACTGAACGTAACTGTGTCTTTATTTTGGTCTACCTACTAATTATTGTTATATAGGATGCAAAAATACAAATTTATTCAAATGTAAAAACGGCAGATGTATTCATCTGAGCTTATTAGCTCAAGTAATATTGGCAGCGTTGATGTAACGGATTTTTTGCAGATCTGAATTTAGATTAACGATAAAAAAATATAATAAAAAAACCAAACTCGAATAACCTGAATATAATTTTAATTTTGTTTAACATTTAACTATCATGTTTTGTAATAATTATATTATGATCTTCACGTTCATCTACAGCGATTAGTGTTTCAAACAAAGTCTTTAGACCAGCTCGTTAGCGTGGCATCAGAAAATGTCGCTTAGTTGTCGCCAATGTCTTGCAGAAACTTATTGTGAGAAATGACACCGGACAAGGCCTCTGTCAATATTATGTGAATAAGGATAATTATCATATGGATTGAAATCGAACAAAGGCTAAGTTCTAATAATTCAAATTATTGTGTCATAGCACGATTTTTATTTTGTTTTAAATTAATTCTACGTTGGGTGAATTGAAACAGTTGTGAATAAAATGTAGACCAATTTAAAAATCTCTGATTTAACTCATTTTTCTATTTGAAAATTACCTTTAGATTAACTTATCTAAAACAATAAAGGGACGACAGATGAGGCAAAACCTAATGTATGTAAACCTACATGTTTTTAATTTTAACCGATTTTTTTAAAAATTGACTTTTTTCGAACTAACAACATAGTATATTTGTTTGTTAATTTCACTATTAATCGATAACTTTCCGGTATTTTATGCGAAACTAATCGAGGCAATAAAAATGTACCTTTAACATTGTGAGACGACCGAATTGAACACAACCCGTGGCAATGATTATTATTAGCCGAAAGAGCCGAGTCTGGTTGGAGAAAGAGGGAGAGAGAGAAATGAAGACTGCATCTCCTGCGTGTGTGTTTAAGTGCAACCGTTCCCCTTCCTATGGGTAGGCGACAGACACTCGCTATACTTCGCCTTTCTCTTATGCCGTGCATTTTCATTTGATATATTATTATTATATGTACGTTTTTCGTGTAGTTCATTGCCGCCAGTATTTTATAGAACGGAGTCAGTAGGTTGTGGCCCTGCTCCAGGTGCTCGTCGTCCGTCGCAGTCTCGTGTTCACCGCACTCTTTGCCGGTCACCCGTCGGTCCCGCGACAATAACATTCACCGTTTGAAAATACTCTCAAGCCCTTTGGCTAAAAGTGATATGTGCTACTGAGAATACCCGTCCGACGTAACGTAGAAAAGGATTTTTTTTTACAAAACCAAAATCCACCCGACGACTTTTCGCATAATTTTCTCTCAACGTCCGACGCGCATAGCCATGAAGAGTCTCGGACTCGCCCAGTCGTTTGCCATTTGCCTGTGTCTGTGCCAGTGTCTTCTTTACCAGGGTAAGCATGATCGTTGCACTGTATAAACGTATGTTACTGTTGATGTACACCAAATACTAACGTAAACTATCGGCACATTGTTGTATCGAAGTAGCCCGAGAGTTTTAGCATAAGTTCCAAAGTTTCCATTTATTTCCGCTGAATTGGTAAAATGAATTTCGATTTATATTTGTTTCTTCACATACCTGCCTAATATTATTCGCGTTGTTCTATTTTATAATACATAAACGTTTTCAATGTGTTTTAATTGGGCATACTATACAAATTTTACAATCACTTTGCAATATTTTAATTATTTATAACGGGTAATTTATCAAATAACTAGTTATTTCATGTTAACTGAATAGTATACAAATTAACGATAACATAAAAAGCGTGGACTGGATACGATCGCATCCTTTGCCTTAGTTTTCAAAGACGAAAACTCCAATAATGCTATTATTTTCACAAAAATATAGCGTGTTACGTTAAATTATTTAATTTTACTATAAACTATAAATAATAAAATCAATTGTTATATTTTATGTACATGTAGAAACTAGGTAGGCTAAACAAAAATATTGCTTTTAAAGCATGTAGCATCCCCAGCTTTCAATTATCGGTCAGCCCATTGACTAAGTATACAAACCCTTTTGTAAGTTAAAACTCAGTAAAAATCCTGATGACAAGTCTCATTTCTGTCATTGGCTTAGTTTAGTAAATTTTCTATATACTGAAATGGGATCGTTGGACTCTTTCTTTTATCATGTTTTCATGTTAAGTAAAAATGTATAGTATCCAATTTACTTATTGTTTTTTTGTTTACATATTATAAATATAGTTTAGAAGACAAAGAAAAAAACATTTTCTATATGTATTTTTTTTATACCGTCTGGATTACTGACATGACCAATTTATGAGACACGTAATGACGCTTTTTTTTTTACTTTTCCTAGGGCAATATAATAATAATTATGTTTTTAACGGCGCAATACTATTTTTTCAACTACACATAGTATTACACATATTATGACCCTTAACGACGTCATCTTTAATATTTACTCATGCTAACAAAACGGTTTTTATAGATTTAAGTAGGTTTATGTGTTTGTTTTTTATTACATATTATATCACACATACCAGAAGCTTTGAAATTTGCACGGCATAACTATTTTGAAAACAATTCCATGCGGCGCTGGTTGATTTTTCTTGAGATAAGCGTTTAATTCATTTTTAAACCGCATCAAACATTAACAATCCATCAAACTATACTATGGAAACCTGTAAAACTGTTTGCGTATTCGACTTAACCATGAAAGGTCATACATTTTTTAAAACAGTATTGGGTACTATTATATAATGTTGAATAAGTGCCGCATTTCCGGTAGTCGAATGAGAACAATCGGTGTACAGTGCAGTAAAAAGCATCGACAAAAACGTCGAATATACTTATTAATAGGGAGATGGTGAATAACGACATAAGAGATAGCAGAGACAATTTTTCTTCAATACAAATTTGACAGGTAGAACGTCCATGTAGTGATCGAATCTAGCTGCAATAAAAACCTGATGACTCACGAGATGAATTAATTCAATAAACTGTGTCATTTTGCCCTTTAGCGATAGCCATGATGATTTATAATAACAAATCCATATCATATACTATGTTAGATTTAGTCTTTTAGATTTTAGATATACTTACTGGCTACTATGTTCTTATGGTGGGACGTTGATGCGAAGTTATTTTTTTGTTATTATTTAATCTAATTAGAACAGCCAAAACTGTTTAAATTTAAATATATATTTTATTATTAAAAAAAAAACCGTGAAAGAAAAAACATGTTGTAAGAAAGATTAAGTATGGAATAATTTTTTTCGCTTGGACTTAAACTATTTAGTTAGTGTTCGTTTTAAACGCAGCTACGTTAATTAAATTATCTTTTAATCATTGCCATTAAATATTAATGGTTCAGGTTTTTGTTTATGCATTTCGTAAGCTAAATCGATAAAACTGGGGATACCTAGTAAACAAATATTTAAGAGTAATTGTTTTTTTCTGTCTTTCAGAATTATAATTTTAATTGACCGAACGGTATGCTAATTAACAGTTGAACGCAGTAGTCCGACAGTTGTGTATCCAGCTGTATACACCTAATAACTGTTATTTTATATTACTAAAGGAAATAGTTACAACATTTTTGTAGGTCACTTTTTCTAAGGAAGTGTTTTTGGAACTAACAGAACCAAATTGCATTCAGTGTTATATTTTCAGGAAGATACTTTATTTGAAAATCAATCATTCTTATACAACAATAGAAAATTAAAAGTCTTCAAATTTTCCATAATAACTTTTAATATAGCTACACGGATGAATTTTATACTGTTATAGCTATGAATGTTAAGTACTAGAAAATTCGCATCTATACATTCGCTAAATTTTTTTAATGTTATCATTAATTTACAATTATAAAATAAAAATTTATAAGGAACGTACAGTAAACAGTTTTAGAACTTAGACTCAAAAATCAAAATTAAAAATGTTTTAAACGCGTTAACGAATTCCGAAATCAAATTTATACATTAGCCAATCAAAAGTTTTGGTAATTTTTTTATCGTAGAATGACAAAACTGTTTTGAAAACTTACAGCACAATACATATATGACACACTTGTGCAGCGTGTAACGTGTTGGCTAATATTATTTATAATTTTAAACCATACCGAAGCCTAAAGTAAAATAAATAATGATTATATTATTGAAGAATGGAATTAATAATAAACAAAAGAATTCAATAGGAAGTTATCTGTTTTGATACAAAATACACATTCATTGAATATGAAACGATAATACATACCATTACAATATTGATACTGTTATGTGATAAATAGAATTTAAAAAAAGAAACAGGAAAAATGTATTGTATTCGTTTGTAATACAAGATACATTAAAAAAAAATGGTAGATCCAAAATCGAAATCTAGATCATGGGATGACCTCTTGCCATTTTTTTTTACTGCATCCCTTCTGAATATATCGTTAATTACGCCACCTTATAAAAAACAATAACTTATGTTCAATTAAGATAGAATTGTTTTCATGATATTTTTAAAATATTAATTTTAAACTTTGCTGTCAAGGAAAGCGTTTACTTTCAAATTTACGAACAAATATCTTCTGACTTTCCTTATGTTGTTATCCTTGTCCTGAAATTATTTTTGTTCTTAACATGCAAACTTCTTATTTATTTATTTATGGTGTTGGCTTCCTAATTTAATTTATAACTGAAATTAAATTACTGAGGTTTAGTACTGAAAAATAAAGGTTATAAAAATAATATTAATAATATTATGTAGTAATGTAGTGTTGTACGAATTCAGATAATATACTTAATATGTTAAGTGTATATATAAAAACCGTTTAGGGTGACAACAAATCATTGTATTATGTATATTATTATCAAATTTTAATCCGAATTACGCGCGGGTGCATTAAACTCAGTACCCAAATGGATGTCTATGTATCTGTTATATATATATATTTTTTTTTAATAAAATATGATAATTCTTCTTCGAATAAACATACTGGAAGTGCACGAATAATCGATTTAAAGAAACGTGACATACGACCGCATGTAATTCTCTTTTAATTCTAATTCTGTTTTTTGTTAAACCGGCATATTATGAAATACGGCCGGCTACATTATATGCGTTATATTAGAATTAGTCGGCGTAATCTTGCGAGGCTAACTAACCATGATCTTCTAACACAAAAATATAAATAACGAGACGTAAGCCTGCCCGTGACGGGTTGTATCCATTTAAATGACAAAACATTCATATTCATTATTATTTATGCCTATAGTTAATTAGGCTAGAAGTCGACGTCAGGATATCTGTTTGAATAATTCAACAAGCCTGTATGATGTTATATAAATACAGGAATTTCCTCTGTGAGGATAGTGACTAATAGTAAACGGGAGGTAAAACCGCATATACCATGAATTTGTGCAAAACAAGAAAACAGCTGAGAGGCAGAGACTTTAACGCTCATGTAAATTGTCGGTTCATACATAAATTCGACGACAAATGCTACTTCAAGAGTAGTGTAATTCTTGAAATGAATACTTTCAAAATTACAAAAATTGGCTACTCTAATACTACTTAGATCGTTATTTGTACAGCTTCTTATTTAAGTTTATAAATTCTACACCAACTACCAATGTATAATGGTAACATAATTATAATATTATAGTATAGTTATAATATTTGGTTAATAGTTACTTCTGAGCTTCTATGACTAATTAATAGTTATAATGTATTATTCTTAAATACGTCGAAATTTAATAAATACACAGTTATAATTGAATTCCGCATATCAATATTTATTTCTTGAATCTATTTCAATGCATTTCCACTCGTCATTCGCCTGTCACGTGTATATCTTCAAGTCTTTAGCTAGATTTCTTCCTCGGACAATCCACTACAATATGATGAATAATTTAGTTATTTTTCAACAGCCAAACATAGGGCTATCATTTAAACTCCATAATATGAACCTAACCTAACCTTATCCGCGCCATGTCCAAATTCGAAGTCGCTTAAGTACGGACTATATGCTATCCGAATAACATAAATGATATAATTTATAAATAAATTTATTTTGTTGGTGGCTTAGACGACAGGGGGTGCCCGAGCACCCATAGCCCCCCCCCCTGAATCCGCGCCTGTCAGCTATCGTGATCCATTAGACCATCCACTGTACTTCCTTACTTGGATCGAACACGAATCTGCTATTTGATGTTATTTCCTATATTCCTTTGCTCTATTAAATGTCGATGTCGCCAGCACCTTGACAGTGCTATTGGGAGGTTTCTTTATTTTAGCCCGATGTATTTTCGGCTATGTTAATAATGGTTCTGATAAGTTAGTTAGAGTAATATTATTGCACATAAACTATAGTTACTTTTTTCCTACCAGTACATGTGTTGTTACTTAGGGAATTAGTTCAACAAAGTAACTGGCG